TGTATTAAGTAAAGAAAGTAAAGAATACAGTGACTTGAAAAATTTCAGCCTTAGTAAAAACAAAGAAATACACACAACAGAAGTACAGATTAAATATTTATGAATTACAGACAGGTCCAAATTAACAGAAGAAGGATCTTAGTATCAATATAGGAGACACAAAAATGTACACTATGTCACTGCAGAAAAAACAGACAAAACTTGAGATCCATAAGGAGTGTAAATGAGCATTAATTTATAAAATAATCCCAAATGTCTGTGACTTGGGCTTCCCTGAGTGTCAAGCATGTAACTTCACTTACAAGATGATGCCGCAGAATAACAATCAGGAGAACAGCAAGAATAGATAAGAGTACAGAAGAATGTTGACAAAGATTATTTACCTTGGAAAACAGTCAAATCAAATGGAGGTAATAAAAAAAAAATAAAATAAAAAAACTGAGATAGTTTATAAGTTTCTACTGCCTTTGCATCATAACTCTAGGTGAGAAAACTTTATTAAAGCCCAACACTTTAAAAGTTCTCCAAGGAAGTCTTTTTTTCACAGAACAAATTATCAGAACCCTATGGTCTATAAGGTCTAAAGCATTGTTAAAACCAATAAATCAGCAAAAATGTACTATGTTAGACATTTCTGCAAGCATATCCAGAATCCTAGTAATCAGTGTTATTAACTGGAACAAAAAGTCTCCTTTCCAGCCAGTTCCTAATTACTAAAAATCACAGTAGGCTTTCCAGGATAGCAGATCTGCCTACTGCAGCTTCCTCCCCATCAAGATGACAACTTCCAGAAGACGCATATTCAACAAAAAGCACTTGATTCAGCACCTGATTCAGAAAGCTGAAAGCAAGGGCCTTCATTTTAAATGCCCTGGATGAGAAAGTTGCTATTGTAGCTAAGGGAGAATCAGTTAATAAATCATTAGAGTTTAAGTTGAACTGAGCAATTACAGAAATCTGCTTAAAGACCTATTAATTCTCTTTTAGATACTTAAAATTTAGGGGCCTATAAACTCATCATCAAGTCCCACCCAGAAGTTAGGACAAGCTGAATCCCCATCCTGAGTATCATATAGTATGTTAACTCTCATATTCCTGGAGGGGACCTTCCAAAATGACAGAGAAATTATTTCCTCTGTTGCTCTTAGATGCAATTACATAAAGCCAGCTATACAAAGTAGTGCCTCAAAACCAGTATTTTACCATAATATTATTATTTTCCATCACATTTACCATCAGAAAACCCATAACTGAATTAAAAGTTTCAAACAGAAGTTTGAAAGGATCAAAACACAGGTGCTGGCACACAAAGCCTGTGCATTTAACATGAGACTCTAGCACAGATTTATAGTAACCCAGAGCATTTTATATCACCATGTGGCTGAACTACTGAGGGGCAGTGTGCTCAACATCTACAGATTTTTTCCACAGCAATATGCATCAGTTCTTATCAAAAGCAAGGCAGAGGCAGAAACTTAAGCCCAAAGTTCACCTACGATAATTTCCTTTTAAATCACAATCTGTAATCACCTCTGTTGCCTTGAGGAATTTCATTATCTGAATATGCCTGTTCAAGAATCCTTTAAGTATTTAAAAATCCCATTCCTTATACCTGTTAGAACAAAAGCACACCACCACTGCTCTACAAGCCCATACTTGCACACCAGAGAGCACTCTTCAGTCTCATCTGGTCTCGAGTCTCATTTTGAGAACAATAAAGAGGGTTTTTCTAAATTCACTCGAGGTATCAACAAGCCAACTTCCATCCCCGCAAACCAAAATGCACAAGGAATTACAGCTCTCAGCAGAATTGATCACTGCCCCATCTGCTTCTGTGCAATAAGGGTGGGAGACTGATTCATCCCAGAAGCTTCCCCAAAGAGGTAACATGCTGAGCAACTCCACTCCTCTGGCTGTGCTCAAAAAACATAAACCACCCTCCGAGGCAGAAGCAAAGTTCTGGAGAAAAACATCTTCCTGTCAGTCTGTTATGACACACACACAGAAAAGAGGGAGACAGACACGCACCTCACACCTTGTTAGATGAACAGGAAAAAGGCAACTTTATTTACATGACATGTCTATTTAAAGACATCCAACAATGGTCGAGGATTGGACAGGTGAAGATCAGACCTCTTGACCTCATTGGCTCTTCGCCCATCGGTCAGATGCTCTCTTCCTCCACTGAGGAATGTAAACTATTCTTGTTTACCAGAGCGAGCATGAGAACTGTTAGACAAATGTGTAAACATCAGAACATCATAGGTGATAGAATCCAGGGGCAACATCACCCCATATCATTATAAGGACTCAGCCCTTGCCCACGCCACTGAACTGAGCATGAGCTGGGCAAAATCCCCCCTGAGTTCCTGATGTGGCTGATGGAGAGAGAGAGATGCAAATCTCTCATGGGCTGAATTGGCTGCTTGAACCTCTCCTCTCTCTTCCCATAGACTTGGGACACTGGTACCTAACAAGGCAGTAGGAAGAATCCAGCCTTGAGCGTCTTATGTAAAGGCTCTGAAGTAAAGATTTCCTTCTAGGTTACCTATTAACCTCTAAGTAAGGATGCTCAGAACTACAAAACACCTATAAATTCTTTAAAGGCAAGATTGTGCACTAGAAACTAATTGCTAGAAGTGAGTTGATCATTCACTGAAAGGCATTATCATCAGCGATAAGGAAAAAAATAAAACAAATGAGCTGATTTATCAGCTCTGCATTTTAATTAGCAGATATTATATACCTCAACTTTCCCTTTAACCTCAACTTGTTTGCGGAAAGATAGCAAAAGTAATTCTAGTGAACAAAAGTGGCATTTAGTTACATAAAATATTCCGCAAGCTTGTGCATTACAAATAAACCCAACCTTAAATCTGTGTGTTATGACTAATTTTAGTACTTGAGTTTTATCCAAAAAAAGAGCATGGAAAAACTTGACACACACACCTCTGCCTTCAAACAAACTGGAAAGGGCAAAAGAAGGCAAAACAGTAACTTCTACAAGCTGGGGGTGGGAAATTGAGAAGAGAGGATGGGATTTAAGTGAAATGACAAAATTATTTTTAAACAAAAAATTAAAATATTTTTTAATTTAAAATTTTAAAGGTGTGTTTTCCTGGAAAAATTGTCATTTGGTGTATATTCCATCTACGTCAGTTTGTGTTAAAAATATTATCTACTGGGACAAAGAAACAAGAGGAGTACATTAACTAGAGAAGGCTAAAGTTAAGGATTTAATTTTTGGTTTTTTTAACAAAGAGAATGCTAACAGATCACTTAGAACAGAAATAAAAATACCTGCAATTTTAAGAAAAGCTGAGTAAAAAGGTAAAAAGAAAAGTTTATTTTTATTTATAAGGTTAGCTTGAGAGCTAACCATCCACTCCACCCCCAGCTCCCGAGTCCAACCCAGTGCAGGCGAGGTCAGAGATGTCTCACTTCACAGAGCTGTGTTGCTGGGAGACTGGGTTAGGCAAACACAAAGAAAGAAGCCAAAAGATTAAGCAAGATGACGACTATTACCATATTTCACAGTCAAATCAGACGACTCTTCAATCCACGAGAGCTTTACATCCAAATAATTTTTCAAAATGAATTTGAGGACTCCTTAGAGAAAACACTGTTTGCCCTAAAGTACCCAGGACATGAAAATAAAGTGTCTCTGAAGTGTTACAGCTGTAGCCAGAGATGATTTTTCTCGCTACTGTCTTCCCCAGAAGTCTTGATACTAGAAACAAAACATGCTTTTGGTGAAGAATGAGATGCTGAATGGGCCTAAAGGATTACAAATTATACCAAAACACTAAGTATTGAACAAGGGGAAAAAAAATTAAAACCCCAAGCATCCCACTTTTCTGAAGAAGCAGAACTTCCAGGCAACAGAAAGAGCCTTTCCAAAAGACAGGCTAGTACCTTACACAGCCACCACCTCATCTGAGACCTTCCATCAAAGTAGTCTTTTTAATTGCATTCTTAGTCAGTAAAGCAGCTTAGATTGACACAACACACTGGGCTGTCAATGCCCAGTGAGCATGTCTTTGAAGTGCTCTGACTGCCTCAGCAGCTGCCTGGGAGGGAACACAGCAAGGAAAAACTATGAACCTCCCATGAGGCTTGCATCTGACTGCTTTGGAAAAGAAAAACCAAGACTAGTAATAGGAACTAATATGGATCACCTGGGGAATTAAAAGCATCAGAAAAATGAAAAATCAACATTTTAATAGAGTAAAGGGGCATGCAGTTAAGGAAAATGATGCCATTACAGTCAGTGGGACTTCTCCAGATCTCCTTCAAAAGGACAACTTCACCAATGCTATTCCTCATAACTAGCTCATGTTCAGGATCTTCTTTTTCCAGAGATTAAGAATCAGCAGAGGAACTGTGTCAGATATTATCACTTACTTCTAACAGACAGTTGAACATTAAATGAAGGATCATTTGTGTAAAAAACACCTGTGAACTTACAGAAATGGGAATTTATGAACTGCTCTATGTTTCTTACATCAGAATCAAGGTGTGATTGTGTGTAGGGACAGCTTTTCCATGTGACTTGGAAACATATATGGGTATGATTGGTGAAAAAAAATGGTGAATGATTGGTGGAAAAAAATAAAATAATTTCAATATGGGAAGAAACCAAATATTTTATGTCAAGAAAATTATAACAAAAGCACAATTATATTTGATTTAATTCAGCAAGTTACCTCGAAGAGAAACTACAGCACAAACCCATAATAAGTACTAAGTACTAATACTGAATCTTGTTGTATTTTTAGGGCCTTCTATCATCATCTTTTGAAACAACTGTCATCTTACATTTCTGCTCACTGAAATAAAATGTTCTATAGCTGATGTGGTATTGTTCTCATATATCAAACCACTTCCAAAAAAAGTAATTTTATTTCCAAACAGAGAAAATAAGTAATTGAGAGAATTCTTGATTTTCTTAGCAACAGTCTAGCCACAGCCCACAAAATAGTGTTAAAATTGTTCCATACCGTGAAGCTGTTGTTGACATTTTTTGTGCTTGATTCAGCTACACTGGCATCTGACAGGTCAACTTCATCAAATATTAGAGACTGTGAAGGCAAAAGAACATAGAAGCATTAAATTAAGTCTGAGTCCACTTTAAGGTATGCTTACAAAATGTGTTTTAATTTCATTGCATCTATTCCAATTAGAAAATAAAAAAAGAAAATAAAAGTACTGAAAAAAATAGAACACACTAATGATGTGGCAAAATTTCATAGCTGGCCCCTAAACACAGTCCTACTTGCTATCTAAGTGGTAGATGAGGGCATAAAAAAAAGGGCTCAATAATTATATTGCTCTAAAATCTCTTTTAAAAGAACGGGGGTTTCCTTACATAGATGAAGCTTTAGAGTGTCTACTGTGTAGCATAAATGTGGTGTCAGAAGAGATTCACACACAGTAAAATGTAAATTAATTATTTAGTTTTAGGATGGAACTCTAAAGTCATGTAGGAAGCTATCATATAGTATCTATATGAGAAGAGGTACCTCAAAGGGCTGAAGAGATCCCCTCCACTTCTTTGTCTGATGTTCCAACAAGAGAAATATATGTCTACTCTAAACACTCCAGCCTCTGGCAAGGATCAATTAGATTCTGTTATGCTCATCACGGGTTTTGTAGCACAGAACAGTCTAACAAAAATGCCTATTTTTTTAACCCTACCATGTTTTTCCTCTTCCATGCCACAGGGAAGAGAATCAATATTGGTGGAATTTCAGCATGTCTGGATTCAGCATTAAAATACTGGCACAATTACCTACTCATAACACCTTCTTTTCTCATCTTTTGCACAGAATCACACAATGGTTTTAGTTGGAAGGGACCTTAAAAATTATCTACCACCAAACCCCTGCCATGGTCCAGGTCAGTCAAAGCCCCATCCAACCTGGCCTTGAACATTTCTAGGGATGGGGTGTCCACTGCTTCTCTGAGCAGTCTCTGCTAGCATCTCACCACAGTCATAAAGAGTATCTTCCTACCTAATATCCAAATCTCTGCTCTTTCAGTTTAAAGTCATTCCCTCTTGTCCTATGACCCCATGCCCCTGTAAAAAGCTCCTCTCCAGCTCCCTTATAGCCTTTCTAGGTACTAGGAGGCTGCTATAAGGTCCAAGGGTCTCTCAGTCTGTCTTCATAAGTGAGGTGCTCCAGCTCTCTGCTCATCTCTGTGTCCCTCCTCTGGACATGCTACAACAGTCCCACGGCTCCCAAGATAGCAAGGGCACAGACCTGTTGGAGTGAGACCAACAGAGACCCAAAATATCCCATATTCCTCATCTAATAGGGTAGGCTCACATTTTCAAAACATCTCAGCGTCATACTGTGATTTGAGGTTGCCCTCTCAGAGCTCCTATCTGCTTATCCTTTATACAAACTGCTCATGGTGGCACCAAGTGCTGAGAGGTTTGACAGCAGAGGTACTGCAGTGCTCCCTGAGCAATGCTGCTTTCCTTGATTCATTATAGCCACACAACTGTGCACCATGCAGCTGCAGTCCTATAGTCCCACAAGGAGTGATCTCTGTGCATTTACTAAGAGCTTTGTTGACAAAACAACGCTATAGAAAATGATGGAGACCTGAAGAACCTCACCTACAGCTCCCCTGAGATGCTGCAACCCCACTGGGTAAAGGAGAGTAACACCCACAGCTATGAAACTGCACAATCTGAGTCAGCCAAAATGCTCTTGGCCCCAGCCCTGGGAGGGAGGAAGGAAATGCCTTTCAAAGAGAAGATAAGTATTCCCCTCTGCCCACCCCCAATTCTCCCACCAAAAATATTCAATAGATGGGAAACAGCTTTTTTCCCTTATATTTAAGTTTTGGCAGAAAATCAGCCTATCTTGATTTCACATAACTATTTCTATGGGCATCAGAGCACAAGAGTTTTAATAGAATGCAGCCTTAGTGATAACTTCTATGCATTATCCAGTTTTTACTTTTTTTGACTGTCTGAGAGCCACAAAAGAACCCACAACTCCTTAAAATGACTTCAGTATTTGTCTGAATAGCCAAAAAGGTTAAAACAACTGTGATAAACTTAATTTTTAAACAATCAAGAGAAATTCCCAATCTTCTTTAAAGTTAATTTAACACATTACATCTTATATACAGCAGTTTTTACGTAAAACAACCATTAACAAATAATTAAATTATTATTATTAAACTTATTAAATATATTAAACTTATAAACCTAAACAAAACTGAAGTCACAAGTAAATGTCAATAGACACTAAAAGCACAGAATTACCTTTGAATCCTTAGCATAGTAAAGGGTACGACCTCGAAGTTTGAAATAACGCTTTTTCCACCTCTGAAAAGAGCTGGTTTGCTTCAGTAGTAATCCTTCCTTTATACTCGTCTGAAAAATATTAAAATACAGAAACCAAGGTAAATAGAAATATGTAGAAACAGCTGCACATATAGATTAAAGTTATGCTTTTTTAAAATTTATGTTACACCTCATATACCTGTGAATTTAAACTTTATTTATTCACATTAAATAGAGAATTCTTTAGACCACCAGTTTTTGCATTGCTATTTTTTAAACAATGACAATGGTGGCAAAATGCTAATTTTACATGTAAACTGAAAAGGCAGTCAAGAGGCATATAATTATTCTGAAGATACACACAAAATAACTCAATTGTCTGGATAGATGCAAAGCCACAAATATTAAAGTGAGCAACAACTGATGGTGGCACAACTTGGAAAAAAATACTAAAACCATCAACAAAAGGTAATTTCCAGTTCCAAAATTGATTATGTTGAGAAGAAAAATAATTTCCACACAGATACTAATTCAACAGGATACATAAATGTGTCTGATTCAAGCACATGAATTACTTCTAAAAAAGAGGGAATAATCCAGTTTGATGCAAGTCACACAAGACTTTGAATATGTTGCTGAACTGAAGCCTTCAGCATGAAATCAGTTAACCATTAGAGATAATAATTATGCGGTAATTGTGAGAACAGTAACAGATAGGGATATTTTTATCATCCAAATATTTTTAGGCAAAAAATGATCCAAACCTTTCCATTGCATACTGAATCCTGTCTATATAAAGCCCATTTTTTTAAATGAGTCAGAGACAAATTAGTATATTTTAAAGATGTATGCTGTTTGCACCAATGTGTGTGGGATTCATCCAATTATAGAAATTCTCCACTTAATCAGGCAAAACAACATGAACACAGCATACTAATTGCATGAGTCTCAAATTTTCTTCAGTGCTGGAGCACACAAGAGGTTTGAGAAAAAGTGAGTGTTTGGATATTATATAGCAAAATTACCATTTTGTATATTTCCAATTTGTATATTTTACTATATTTTAATATTTTGCATATTTCCAATTCCGAATATTTCCGATTTGTAATGTAATAACGTGATAAGGATCTTATGATACAATTTCTAGACTATGTGGGACAAACATCATTTGAAGTTATTCTGGAGCTTCTGGAAACCTAACCAGGACTTGACCTAAAGTTCATAAGCATCTTCTATTATCTATCAGATGTCAAATTCCCCTGAAGTTTAATGCAAGTAATAAAAGCACAGAAAAGGCAGAAAGCACTTTGCTGTTCCTACCATTTCCTTGAAATGAGAAACACTGCTGTTATGTACAGAGATCCTGCCCCTCATTTAGCTAGCCCTAACGTCACAAACCAAGCGTGCGGTCCAACGATCACAAAGCAATTGAATTAATGCTCTCAGAAAAGCAACCCTCTCCCATCAAACATTGTAGCTGAGAGTTTAGATTTGTCACAGTTTGCTTCACATGCCAACAGCCCGGACCAGTGGATTCAATCTCAGCCCTCCTGCTCTAGCTCAGGGGTAGCAATTCCCAGTGGAAAGGGACTGCTCACCACACACCATTTTAAGACACTTTGCAATTTTCTGATCTGACCCCAAGATAAGCTAATTTTCCATGACATAAATAGATTTAATAGATTTAATCAGCAAATACAAGCACTTCTTCAAAACTGTCTACTGTAGCCATGCAGCACCTGTGCTTCATATTGCATCCTGATATTTTGGAAGCTCATCACAAGGATGGGAGTAGATGTCGTGTGTGTTTATCAAAAGTCAGAAGATGTTAAGACTAGTTCCAAGAAAATGGTACTCCACATTCATGACAGACACTGACTTCCTGGTAAATTTCCAAAATGGAAGAAAATCCACACTTCCTAAAGTGCACTAGGTATACTAGGAGACATGGAACACATATTATGCTTAATACTTCTGGGAATTTTAAACTCTGTTTAAAAAAAAAAATAAAGCTCTTTACTCACTAAAGAATTAGTTAACTCTTTCTTGTCATTTTTATGCCTACTAAACCACTGCCTCCTATTTCTACTCACTCCTTTAACGTCAATATCCCTAATATCAAATCAGTACCTTCAAAATTAAATCTATTTTGCAAGTCAGCCATTTGAAATTATCTTCCTAAAGCTGGCAGTAGACAACCTTGCAGGCTCCACAGAATTTATTTTTGCATCAAAATTTTCAAAAAATCTGGTAAACATTTACCCAAGAAGTAGAAGCACTTAATGAAATACACACATGAAATTTACATTTTACCACAAATAACTATATGGGGCTGAGGTTGGACATCTTAAATAGAAAAATCCATGGCTGCAGGCATCAAAACTGAGCACAAAGCTTTAGCCCAATATCCTTAATTAACTTTATTTAGACTCTAAAATGTTTAAAATTCCATCTGCCAATTGAGTCACTAAGTAATCTGCTAATAATGCTTTCCTGAGTCTACACCAAGTTAGAGCATTTCCAGTAATTTGAGAATGGAAGGGACCTCCCAGGTTTTTGAATTTGGGTCCTCATTATTGCCTACACACAAGTCAAGTTTTTCAAAAGCAATGATCAGGCTATAACTACACCTTAAGAAAGTAGTTATTTTTCTTTTCCCCATGGCAATTAAGACAGTGCTCCAAGATCTCACTGTTCTCAGAAGCCTTTTTATAATTAATCTCAGCTGGACATTAAATCTAAAGTATAAGCAATGATCACTCCAATTATATTAACTCCTTTTCTACTGTAATTTAAGAGAAACAAGAAGTACAGATCCCATAATCCCACACTACTCACTTTTACAGTTACCTGTCATCAGCTTGCCAAAACCTCTGAACTTCCCCATCCTGCATCTCGTGTCATCTAGTAATACAATGTCCCTCCAGAAGTATGGGACTATAATTAGAACAGAACAGAACAGAATCCCTAATAATCTTAACTATTTTAGCCATTAGTAAAGAAAATTACTGACAATATTACAATCACAACACAGAGAGTGTGTTCCACTGTGTATATTTTCCAGAAGAAATCTAAAAAAAAAAACCAGAACAAACACACGCTTTTTTCATAAAATTAAGGAGTACATATGTGTTCTATTATCCAAGAATGTTAAATGCCACTCTGCATCTCCAAAATCTCAATGACAAAATAAAATTGGATTTGTGGGTATTCAGGTCACTAAAAATGAGGAACATCCTCTTTTGTATCACCAGATTTAAAAATGTCCTGTATAGAGCACCTGAAAAGTCAAACTAACAGTTTTTATTTCAATGGAAACCAACCACATCGCCTTACTTCTGATTAACTCACTTTGTAAAGCCCCACATTTCTGCAAAGGTAAATTTTTACTTTTGCTGCTGCCAGAAAGACAGAAAGAAAGGAAAAAATATTCTGAATTTAAAAAATAATCAACTAATTGTGGACCCATTGTTGGCAACCAGAAACTGAAACGCTAAATGATTAAAGATAAAAGTCTACCCTCTACTTCTCATGTAGATAAGTGGACATGCTGCTCAAAATGTGTCAGGAGAGAGAATTAAAAAACATGAGGAAATTTCTGAAAGTGAGGAGGATGAAAATGAGAACAGGAAAGGCCATAAAACAGGACAGTCAAATGCAAACAGGAAATTAAGAATTTAAGATAACCTTACAACAGATGCTCATGCTGAGACTAAAATGTTCATAAAACTTTGAAAGATGAAACACTGCTAGCAGGTTGGCAGGATCATTTTCCAACAGAAGTATGAAAAGGGTACTCAAGGATAAGAAGGTCACAGGAAAGAAGCTCATCAAATCCTGAGCATCTGTCTTCAGCAATGAAGATAATGAGATGGGATCTCACACAGCCTGTTCTCCACAACATCAGAACAGCTGCATCAACACGGAGGCCATACATGGGAAGTACTAGACCAGCCAATTCACTAAGTCATGTGGGCCAGATGGTATTGACCTGGGAGCCTTGAAGGTCCCAAAAGGACCACTGACACCAACATCCACTTCTGGTAGGACAGTAGAGTCCATACAAAAGTATATTGCTGTGCCCATACAAATCCAACAGAAAAAGTCAACAGAGCTTTTGTAAAAAAAATACTGTCCTGCTAGCTCCTGTGTTCAGGAGGTCGAGGAAAGCAAGTAGATAAACTAAGACCCCATAGATCTGGCTTTTTGGAAAGTCTTCGACAAGGCTTCCTACCAATGAATACTTAAGTAATGTTATTGGAGCTAAATTCTAATTTAGGGAAAAGGGGCATGGTGTGAACTGAGTTTTTTTCAAGGAAAAATCTAAACATCATTAACATTCTCACATCAACTTTGAGTAAAGAAGAGATCTGTGAGTCACAGTTCACAGTTCTCTAAGCTCAACCGCAGCCAGAAATGCCATACAATTTTGCCTAAGAAAAGCAAAAAACCCCATACATAATATAATTTTTCTGCTCTATAACACTATTGTCTCACACAGTTCTGCTCTCTCTAACTCAAGAAATGGGGTTAAGAGAAGATACAGAGAAGGGCAACACAAATGATTCACAGAACAGTAGCTGCCTCACAAAAAGAGAGATGGAAGAGCAGAAGACAAAAGGGGTGATATGAACAATGTTTTAAAAACCATTAAGTAAGGTGACTGCAGAACTACAACTCACCAAAGTCCACAACATTATAACAAGGGGGAATGTGACAAAACCATATTGAGATCAGCTCCACAAAGGTAAAAAGTAGCACATCTTTACATAGCAGGTAGTGATTTTATGAAGCTTGCTGTCACAATAAATTGTCAGGCAGACAGCATCAGCAAGCACAAAAAAGAAAAGAACAGGCAAATCCAAGCACAGTGTAGGAACGT